CCAACCGTCCACTCCAAAATCCACAATTTTCCGTCAAAAGTTTGTCCGTCCAAGTTTGAATTTCGCGCTCCACCGCCCTTCCTCCGAGTAAGCCAGTCAGCCTACGCAGTGAATCACCAGGAACTCCGGAGGCAAGAGGTAACAGGAGACAATGCCAGGACAATCACAAACACCTGGAGCACACAGGGTGGAAACAATCAAGACAATTAACAGGGAGTGTAGGGATGGGACCCGCCACAAGGGGGCACCATCCTTACATTCTGGTCCCTCCTAAAGCCAAAGAAATTCAATTTAAAATCTTAAATAGAATTTATCCTACTAAGGAATTTGTAAGGACAAAATTTAAAATGGACACTGGGAACTGTGTTTTCTGTGAGACAGAGAGTGAGAACCTGGAACATCTTTTCTTTGACTGCATGATAGTTCAGCAAGTTTGTCTTGATCTTAAGATGTGGATCGAGTCCAAAGGGATCCAGCTACTTACTCTCACTTTAAAAGAAATCAAATTTGGGTTAATTAATAAGATTGGAAATGATGAATATGCTGTCAATAATTTGATTATATTAACTAAACATTATGTTCATAAATGTCGTTTTTTCAAATGTAAACTTAATGTGAACCACTGGAAGACTGAGCTAAAGTGCTGTGCAAAATATTTAAAATATGTAAAAGGAAAAAATGCTGGTAAATTTCTTGGTTAATTTCAATTCCCTCATATAATGCCTTTTTTATCGTTCTTTATTTATTTATTTCTATTATGTTATGAATCACCTTTTTGTAACTTTTGATTGTAAGAATTGGTACTTTTTGTTTTGTATTGTTATGGTTAAATAAAGTAAAATAAAATAAAAAGAATGGTGAGAAATGTGTGTACACTAATCGACACGACTGACCACACCGTTCTCCTTGAACAGCTGAATAAATATGCATCAGAGGATTAGCGCTACAGTGGGTATCCACTTATTTGAATAATAGGAAACAGTTTGTGCAGGTAAACAATGTAAGATCAAAATTTTGTGTTAATGGACGTGGAGTCCCTCAAGGCTCTGTGTTGGGAGCAAAGTTGTTTATTTTGTATGTGAATAATGTGGTTGATGTGTCAGGACTTTTGAAACGTGTTTTATTTGTAGATGATACCACATTTTTTTTGTTCGGGTGAAGATATTGGACGGATGTTAGAGATGATACAGGCAGAATTTATAAAAATACAAACTTGGTTTCAACTTAATAAGTTATCATTAAATTTTGAATAAACAAAGTACATGATATTTAGTAATAGAAAGAAAATTACCAAAGTCCCATTTAAAATTGACAGTATTGAAATTCATAGAGTTAATGAAATAAAATGTTGGGGTGTCGTTATTGATGAGAAGCTGACGTGGAAATCTCATGTAAATTACTTAAGAATAAAAATAATAAAATCAGTTGCATTACTGTATAAAGGAAAAGAGTTGTTGAATGACAAAGCTGTGTATATATTGTATAAAGTAATGACTGTTCCATATTTAATACATTACGGCAAAGACTGGTTCATCCCAAAGATCCAGTCCCCCGGCACAAACAGAGTAATGTTGTGTATGTTGTTCAGTGTCAGGAGGGTGATCAGTCTTACATCAGGGAAACTAAACAGCCACTGGCCAAAAGGATGGACCAGCACAGAAGATCAACATCATCAGACCAGGACTCTGAGGTCTACACTCATCTCCAGGCCAGTGGTCACTCTTTCAGGGATGAAGATATTCACATCCTGGACAGAGAGGAACGATGGTTTGAGAGAGGAGTAAAGGAGGCCATCTTTGTGAAAAGAAATCGTCCATCATTAAACAGGGGTGGAGCCTCCAGGTTCAACTGTCCCCCTCTTACAATGCTGTGATTGCTAGTATCACTCAGCCCTCTGTGAACAGTAAACAGCCATCAGTGTGCTAATGATCCATTGTTAGGCTGATGGTCCTTCTTGAGCATGTGATCAGCTGGTTCTGGTTGTCAGCAGCAAACTGGTTGATCCACTCTGAGAAGGTGCTATTTAAGAAACTGAGCTGGAAACAGCACCTCAGACTGAGGAAGTCCTCAGGATGAGAGACGAAACATTTCTACATTTTTTGTTGATTTGCTTTGTTTTGTTTTTTTTGAATGTCCAGAGGACCAGATTGAACTTTTTTAGATTTTTCTACCTGGATTATTGAGCAGCATCAGGATGTTCCATATTTAATCTGTTGTATTGAAGTTTGGGGGAAATCATACAAAACAATTACAAATCCTATTTTTATTTTACAAAAAAGAGCTATAAGAATTTTTAGTAGGAGGTGCTGTGGTCACCAACAAATCTATTATTTCATCAGTTGAAATTATTAAAATGTTATGATTTGGTTGAATCTAGTATTTTACAAGTCATGTATAAAGCTCATAAAATATTAGCCCAAATATTCAATTAAAATGTGTTAAAAAAGAGAGTGATTATAACCTGAAGGGAATGGGAATGTTTGTAAAACCTCCAGTTAGAACTGGTGTGAAGGAGCTGCGTTGTAGTTCAGGAACAGGGTTTTAGATTTGTCTCGATATCACCATAAACATTTATAAAACAACGTGTATGTTTCAAAAGATGATTAAGTGAAAGTTGTTAGTAAAGTGTGATACCATGTGAAGAATGCCTGATGATTTGTGTTTTTCATTTGGGGATCGTTCAAGTCTGACTTGTTTGTTTGTTTCTATTCATTTGATTCTTTTAAATAAGGGGCAGATATTATAAGAATTTTTTTTCTTTCTGCACATTTTCATTCAATTTTTTTATTTTTGATGAATTTGTTTTGTTTCTTTTAAATGAATGAATAAATGAATAAAAAAAAATTATAATAAATCACAGAGACATGGACAGCTCTCCAGTCCACGACAACTTGTTACTCACAGAAACAGCCTGAGGACCAAGGCCACAAAGGTGGAGCTCAATCATCAGTCGGCCATGTGGCCTAAACATTTCATTGTTTTGCACGTGTTAAAAGTCGACTTTTAAGATTCCAACAGGAGTTTGTCTTGAAACACAGCAGTGAAGGTTACCTATGGGACAGATCTGGTTGGCAGGCTGCAGACTGAGGAAGTCCTCCGGATGGGGGACAAAATATTTCTCACTTAAAGAATCTGGTCCAGATGACACAATTTAACCTTTTTTTGTTGTTACCTGGATGATTGAGCCTACAAAACTGCTTTATGGACAGAACTTCTCGGTGCAGCCAGGGGGCGGAGGGTTTCTGGTTCAGTGGCCTCAGGATTCATCTCTGATCTTTGCAGATGATGTGGTCCTGTTGGCTTCATCGTGCCATGATCTTCAGCTCTCACTGGAGCGGTTCTCAGCCGAGTGTGAAGCAGCTGGGATGAGAACCAGCACCTCCAGATCTGAGGTCATGGTCCTCAGTCAGAGGGTGGATTGTTGTCTTCAGGTCGAGGGTGAGGTTCTGCCTCAAGTGGAGGAGTTCAAGTATCTCAGGGTTTTGTTCATGAGTGAGAGAAGAATCGAGCATGAGACTGACAGATGGATTGGTGCAGCGTCTGCAGTATTGTGGACTCTGTGCCGGTCCGTTGTGGTGAAGAGGAGCTGAGCTGTAAGACAAAGCTCTCTGTTTACTGGTCGCTCTACGTTCCTCCCCTCACCTCTGGTCATGAACTCTGGTAGAGACTGAAAGAATGAGATCGTGGATCCAGGAGGTTGAAATGAGTTTCCTCTGCAGAGTAGCTGGATTCTCCCTCAGAGACAGGGTGAGAAGTTCAGTTATCAGGAGAGACTCAGAGGAGAACCACTGCTCCTCCACATCCAGAGGAGCCAGTTGAGGTGGTTCATCTGGTGAGGATGTCTCCTGGGCGCCTCCATATGGAGGTGTTTTGGTCATGTCCGACTGGGAGGAGACCCAGGGAAGACCCAGGACATAGTCCCTCCAGTGTGTCCTGGGAACACCTTGGAGTCCTCCCAGAAGACCTGGAAGAGGCCGTGGAGAGAGATGTCTGGACCTCCCTTCTCGAGATGCTGCCTCGAGACCTGAGTCCAGAACAAGAGTCAAGTCAACTTTATTTATAGAGCACATTTAAAACTGAAACTGTTGTCAAAGTGCTTAATGACATCAGTCACGTACAGAGGAACATAGTGGATGGATGGATGGATGGATGGATGTGTGTGGGCGGCTGTGGCTGAGTGGTTAGAGCAGTTGTCCTCCAATGGGAGAGCTGGGGGTTTGATTCCACCAGCAGTCACATGCTGAAGTGTCCCTGGGCAAGACACTGAAGCCCTCATGTGTGTCCCACGTGATCAACTCTGATTATTCTCTGTACCGTTCTAGTAGAGAGCTGTATGAACGGGTATGAACGGGCATGAACGGGTATGAACGGGTATGAAGGGTATGAACGGGTATGAACGGGCATGAACGGGCATGAACGGGCATGAACGGGTATGAACGGGCATGAACGGGTATGAACAGGCATGAACGGGTATGAACGGGCATGAACGGGTATGAACGGGTATGAACTGGCATGAACGGGTATGAACGGGCATGAACGGGCATGAAGGGTATGAACGGGCATGAACGGGCATGAACGGGCATGAACGGGTATGAACGGGCATGA